AGTTCTGCGAAGTTCGATTCCCAACAGCCATACACACGCTCGATGGCTTTTCTCCTTCCGTGCCACGCCTTCTTGTAGCTGACATCGACTTTCCAGCACTGTTTCACATCGGCCTGGATAAGTCTAACGTTGTAGTCAAGTTTCTTTTCAATCTTGTTAATTACAAGATTTGAAATCATATGAGCGGTTACATTTCTGTGGTCATTTCTCTCGACCCGTTGCATACAAGTGTGTCTGTCAGTCCATTCAGTTATTTCCCACATTTCATGAACCCGTTTCTTAGTCACCCGAGCTTTCCACACACAAGGTTCATCTTCATTAGATCTGCACACCACTTTGAATGACTTCTGATTAGAATCTATTGTCCGAACCGCCCTCAGCCTATCAACGTTCCAAGCCAACAGACCCCATTGTGCTTTTTCCTTGCTTTTAAAAACTGTACCCAAACGTATGGTCTCAATGTCGTCATTCCAACGTGGAAGAGCATACTCGTTCTCATCTATCTTCGATGGCTCCCATTCACCCATCTCGCGATAAATGTGGCGACCACCACTAGGAAGAGGGTCTTCCTCTTCAATCAATTCGGGTTCACTCCCCTCATTTATCGATCTGTCTGATTCGGTTTCGGAGGTCTCATCTGTGAAATCATCTTCACCAGGAACGAAATCTTCATCGCCTTCTTCTTCTTCCCAGTTCTCATTTTCCCATTGCATTGTTGAGCTTGTCCCTTCTCCAAAATTACGTGATGGGAAGTCGACGTACCATCAACATCCACCTCTCCCCCGTAACACCCCCACACATCCTCAACCTGTGTAACCGGTGTAATTGCCTCCAACGATAAATGCAAATACACCGTGGACATAGGAGTAAGGTAATAAATATACTGAAGAACACTTTCGTTATTGAGTCTTAAGAAATTCAACGAACCATCGCGTTGCTCAACTATTAAAGTAATCTCCTTCATTGTCCAACCTTCTCCGAACCAACAATTTTGATTAATCATTTCTACCAATTGTTGATATGATATCCTCTCCGGAATAAACAATGAGCCATCCGGACGATCTTTAAATAAAACAAATTCACTTAACCTTTCCGTCGCAAAATGCCAGTACAAATTAACAAAATATGGACCGGAAAATGCCATTAATACCTATTGCAAAAAGACACTTTCAATTCTTCCCAATTACAACAACACATGGTGTCTAATATCTAATCCAACACCAAAAAAATTCAATTATGGATAAATTTGAAAGCCCCAATTCTAACCCTAATTTCGAAAACTCTAAGCCCAACAACAACCAACAAATACACAATTAACAATTTATAACAAAATTAGGATCTCCAATTCAACATATACACATATTCGATAAACAATTAACAATTCCTAATGTCCAAACAACAACACCACATTCAAACATATTATAACAATTCTAATTTCCAAACAACTCAAAAAAATGTAAAAAGTTAAGATAAGCCAATATACCTTGTGCGAATGAATCAACCGAAAATGAGACTCGTGTCGTTGTTATCGATTTGCGTCGGGTAGGATTGGATCGTGTTTTTTTTTTCCACCGGAAATGAGTCGCAGAAGGAGATTTTTTTCCGTCTGAAGAGAGAAACGAGATGCGCAAATGAGGGAGAAGAGAGATTTTTTTTTTATATTTTATTGTAAAACGTATTCTCAGAATACATTTTACTTTTAATTATTTGTAAAACATATTCCGTAAAATACGTTTCTATTTTTTTATTTTTTTTATTGGTAAATTCAAATTTATAAACGTATTTTGAAAATACGTTTTATAATTACTATTTTTAATTCTATTCCACTATTAAACGGAAATATTTTTTTTTATTTTTAAAAAATATTNTTTGTCATTATTTAATGACCGTATAATGATTCGTGAAAGTATTTTCTCTTACTATTGACTCTTCAAAATTTTATAATTAAATATTTGTTTCTCTTATAGTTATTTTCTCTTACCATATTTTAATCATTTTTTATTAATAATTAGTTTATTCTATTTCTAAGTTATAAAATTGTGTATACCATATAATTAGAAAATTTTGGGATTACATCTCAACTTTATTAATTGGTATTCTAAAACTTTTGCATGTTAATCACCTATAATAGTTTATGTTCAACGGAAGACATTTAGATTTTTCGAGATTTAAGCTTTTTTAGGAGTTTCATGTTTTACAGGAATCCATAGAAATCTGATTTTTGGAGGGAAATCATGGGATAAAATTTCCAATATGGTTTTTGTTAATGAAATCTCAGTAAATATTAAAAAAATTCTAGCAAATTTCAATGTCCAATAAGTTAAATAACTTGTGATTTGTTATGAATTATTGAAAATTTTTATACCCATGAAATGACGATCACACTGACATTTTAAGTTGTTGGACAAAATTTCCAATATTAATTTGCGATGACGCGTTCACAAAGGAACAACAAAATCAAGTACTAAGTAATAATATAATTCATTATTATTCGTAACTCTTATCCTAGACATGTTTAGTGCCATGAAAAAGAATTTAGTGGGCTAGCAATACCAACCATGTAGTTGACATTGACAAACATGGATAACCTTTGGCCACACTGTTTCATTTCCATTAAACAAATCAATAATGAATGGCATCTCACCACTATATAAATAATCCTACTCCCGTTACATAAACCACACAAAAACATAACCCTTGAATCCCTTTAGTAGAAAACTTGGGAGCATCCACAAAATGGGGACGCTACCGATGATGCACGGCTTGCGCCACTTTGCTTTATTCCTCGCGTTTTGTTTGATAGCCACCAATGTAGTTGCCAATGAACCGCGGCCAAATTCGTATGTCTACAGATCACCGCCACCTTCTTACGTTTATAAATCACCGCCTCCACCTTTATTGTCCCCACCTCCTCCGTACATATATAAGTCGCCTCCACCACCATCGCCTTCTCCTCCCCCACCATACATCAATAAATCGCCATCTCCGCCTTCGCCATCTCCGCCACCTCCATATATTTACAAATCTCCTCCTCCATCGTCACCTTCACCACCACCTCCGTACGTATATAAGTCTCCACCACCTCCACTAAAATCTCCTCCTTCTCCACCGTCACCGTCACCTTCACCACCACCTCCGTACGTATATAAATCTCCGCCACCTCCACTGAAATCTCCTCCTCCTCCACCGTCACCTTCACCACCACCTCCGTACGTTTATAAGTCTCCACCACCTCTACTGAAATCTTCACCTCCTCCACCGTCACCTTCACCACCACCACCGTACGTAGATAAGTTTCCACCACCTGAACTGAAATCTCCTCCTCCTCCACCATCACCTCTGTACGTCTATAAGTCTCCACCACCTCCACTGAAATCTCCTGCTCCTCCACCGTCACCTTCACCACCACCTCCATACGTATATAAGTCTCCACCACCTCCACTGAAATCTCCTCCTCCACCACCTTATATTGATAAGTCGCCACCTCCACCATCGCCATCTCCACCACCACCANAAATCTCCTCCTCCTCCACCGTCACCTTCACCACCACCTCCGTACATATATAAGTCTCCACCACCTCCACTGAAATCTCCTCCTCCACCACCTTATATTTATACGTCGCCACCTCCACCATCGTCATCTCCACCACCACCATCTCCATTACCACCACCTCCTTTTATCTACAAGTCCCCGCCGCCTCCAGCAAAATCTCCTCCTCCTCCTTTTATATATAAATCACCACCAACACCTTCACCATCCCCACCACCACCCTATATCTTCAAGTCTCCACCACCTTCACTAAAATCTCCTTCCCCTCCATCTGTTTATAAATCACCACCCCCACCGTCACCATCCCCACCACCTCCTTATATTTATAAGTCACCACCTCCTTCTTCACCATCACCGCCACCTCCGCATGTTTATAAGTCTCCTCCACCACCATCACTATCTTCACCTCTCCCGTATAATTAAAAGACCCCACCACTTCCGCCACATGCACATTACTAAAGTTCACTCCATTGCTTCGTTTCATGGTTAATTATTAACCCACAATTGCGTCTTTCATTAAGTTTATACATTGTGCGATATGAATATTCAAATGTTTAATTGATTTTCCTTTATTTTAATTTGCACACTTTTGTGTTTCAATAAATAGGGATCCAAATATTATCCCTATCTATGTTTGAGAATTTTATTATACTATTCTCGTTTAAATTTTCTTTGCACGTGTATTAATATTGTACTATTCTCATGATTCAAGTGTCCAAGATGAGAATTCCGGTTAAGGGATTCTTCTATCTGCAATACTCTAAATGGGATCATCTCACACAGATCAACAAGATATCTGGGCCTACCACTAGGGATTGGAAAATCCAAGAGAGAAGTTTTTGCCTATCTGTTAACCTCAGTGAAGAATAAGCTGCACAGCTGGAAGACAAAACTTCTTAGCCCAGCTGGGAAAGAAGTCTTGCTCAAAGCAGTAATACAGGCTTTGCCCATCTTCTCAATGTCTTGTTTCAAACTCCCAGTCACCCTTTGTTCTGAAATCTCCATGCTCTGTGCCAAATTCTGGTGGAACACAGGTGATCAGCAAACAAACAGCATCCATTGGAAGAAATGGTGTTATCTCACTTTGCCAAAATCTGCTGGTGGCCTAGGATTCCTTGACTTACAAATATTCAACAAGGCACTAATCTGTAAACAGTTGTGGAGAGTAGCAGCCAATCCTAACCTTCTTGTGAGCAGAATCCTTAAAGGCAGATACTTCCCCAACTCTTCAATTACTCATGAAGTAAAAACTCAGAATGGCTCCTGGATGTGGAACTGCTGGCTGGAAGTTATGCCTTTCTTCTCCAAATGGCTGAAAACAGAAGTGAGAAATGGAGTTAACACTCAAATATCAGACTATAACTGGGTTCCAAACCTTCATAAGCCAACTCCATCCCTGATCCCAATTGCCAGAGGTCATCTGAAATGGGTTCATGAACTCATTCAACCCAATGGCTTTCAGTGGAATGAATGGCTTGTGAGGCAGGTTTTTGACCCTGGTGACAGTGAAGCCATACTCAAGATTACATCCCTGCATCCTAACAGAAATGACAGATTTTTTTGGGGCTTAGAGGAAAAAGGTAACTTCACAGTTTCCAGTGCATACAAGCAGCTCTCTAACATCAAACTTACACAGCTCGACATTCTTGAGAGCAGTTCTAATGCCACTCTGAAAAAGCCAATCTTGTTCAGACATTGGAAATTAAAAGTTATTGGCAAGGTGAAACATTTTATCTGGAAATGCATCACAGGTACCCTCCCAGTGGCTGTTCAATTGAGGAAAAGGAAGGTGAACATTGATCACATTTGTTCTATTTGTGGCGAAGCCTCTGAAACCATTGAACATGTCCTTCTCACATGTCCTAGAGCCATGAGGACTTGGGAGCTATCTCCAGTTTCTTGGGATGGCCTTCACAATGCCACAGACTCCTTCAAAACCTGGTGGTACCAAGTCTGTTCCATTGACCATACAGATGTTGCTGAAGCAAAGATACAATTATCAACATACATCCTTTGGTGGCTCTGGAAGTCAAGGAACTTGTGGATTTTTCAAAACTCTCTAATGCCAGTAGCCTTAGTTCTCAAACAGGCTCAGACAGATTGGCACCAGTACTGTTCCTCTCTTTCTAGTTAGTAGCTTTTCTCTTTTTTTCTTGTTTTGCTTTTTAGCTGTTGGTAGAGGTTGATTTTCCTTACTAGGCTTTTTAGCAGTGGTGGGAAGTTTCCTCTGTATTTCATGTTACTATTTCTATTCCTCTTGTAGAGGCTCTAGACCATCCTTGGATGTGTCTCTCATTTTTACATTTTCAAGTTATATATTGTATCTTGAACATTGTACTGGGACTTTGTCCCCTTTCAGTTATATTATAGTTCCTCTGTCGTTCTGGGAAAAAAAATATATATATTTTTTTTAATATGCGATCAGATCCTCTCATGACCTAAGAACTCTCAATTTTTTTTTATACTCACGAATAATCACCATCTCACGCCAATGACTCTCTTTCTCTTTATTATTTTTTGGTAATCACCTTNGTAACCTTAATTTTTTTTTAAAGAAAAAAAAAACACTCGACTAAGGCGGAATCCATTATGTTTAGAATATATTTTATCAATATCAAAATTGCACATGATATGAGGATAATTATTTGGCAAAATTAAATAGTAACGTATTAAATAACGCAATTTGTAGCCAATTTATCAGGTCAGATCTTAGTGTCGAAACACGTTTAGCGCTTGACTGTCCCATTTATTATTGGATTTTGGCAAAATATGATAATTCTTTTAGGCAAAAAAGGATAATAATTTAAAAGACGAAAAATCTATGAAGGAGATCGCCTACTTGAAGGATGAACTTCAGAAAACTTGTGTGATGAATGGCGAACGGAATACTAAGCTGACCACTGACGTTCATACCAGCAAGGAGGAACATAAGCTGGACGAATTTGTTGCCAAAATCACGATGTTACAACATGAACATAAGTTGTCCAAGCAGGTATGTGATGAAAAGGATATTGTCATTAAGTCTCTACGTAATGAAATATTTGCCTTGCAAAAAACTATAGGTGAAAGGGATTATGAGATTGTTATACTCAAACGTGAACTTGGGCGGGTGATGGAAGAACATGTTAGCCTCCAAAGCCATTGCACTAAAATTGAAAAGCGTCTAAGCAAGAATGAAGAGGTGGTCAAGATGATTAACAAGCCTAAAGTTCCTTACTTGGATGTTCCAGACCTTAGCAAAAGGTTGAAAGGTAAAGGTGTCGAAAACCAATCCCTTAGCCCAAAAGGTAAAGCAAGTACTAGTTCACATGGTAAGCCCTTTTTAACTTTTTTGAAAGAAGGTTCCAACACTGATGGTAAGGATGATCAGGTTTATGTGAAAGAACATCGTAATCGTTTTGTGAAAATTTTCATTCATACTTGTCATTATTGTGGTGTTCTTAGTCATATTCGTCCTAGATGCTATAGGATTCTTAATGATTTGAGTGCAGGAAGGATTAATGACTGGAGCCGCGCCGGTGGTCCAATGAAAACACCAAAACTGAAGGTTGACGCAAAGAACCAAAAGAAACAGAAAATTTGGGTTCCCAAAAAGAATCATACTTTTCTTTCATCTCTGTTTGCTTCAAAATCCGCTTTTAATTGTGATTGATATTTTGATAGTGGATGTTTTATGCACATGATGGGTGTTAAATCGAATTTGATTAATGTTGTACCTGTGTCTAATGGTTCTGGTTCTGTTACTTTTGGTAATGGTGCTAGTAATAAGGTTGTAGAAATTGGATATTTGAACATACCTGGTCTTCCTAGACTTGATAATGTTTTGTTGGTTGAGAGCTTGAATTTCAATTTTTTGATTGAGTCAATTATGTGATCAAGGCTTTTCTATGAGTTTCACTTGGAATGAATGGGTTTGCTTTCTGATAGAAATAATAATTGTGTTATTACAGGGTCTAGATAGCATGATAATTGCTATTTGATTGACTATGGATTTTTGACTCGTGTGATACGAGTTCTAGTATTGTTAAGGATTGTGATGCTGATAGGGACGAGAATGTCATTGATCAATGGAATAGGTCTGATGGATATTCTTACACCGATCAGAATTTTGTGGCTGAAACTTGCTGTTCAGAAAATGTGTGGATAAAGCACATTTTTTTTGAATTTAGAACTGAGGTACAAGCCTTTGATCTGCTCTCTGATCATACTTGTGCGGCTAATGTTTCCAAATATTCTGTTCAACATTCTCTTATGCGTACTAGCATGTTGTGCCACTTTACTAAAAATTTGTTTGATGATGGATTAATTGTTCAAAAATATGTTCCAACACATAACTTGGATGCTCAAAGATTTATTTCCCTAAGGAAATCCTTAAGGATATGCATTCTCTGATTGCTTGCATGCCATTATATTATATTGTATTGTATATTAGTATATATATTATATTTGCATTGCGTGTATGCATATAGGATATTGCATTAGTCATACTTTGCATTTTTCATTAATTTCACCACAAAGTCATGATTGATGTTCGAACTCTATATAATCCGGTGAGATCTTATTAACTGAAGTTGTTTGTGTGTTCTTACATGCTGTGGGACTTTTTATTTGTGTCAGAAAGAGCTGTCATCACAGAATGATTTATTGAGAGAGCTAGCACATGGCTCGTTTCCTACGGCATCGACTGTGAAAAGAGCTTCATAAACAGAAAACGATGTGAAGGGTGAAAGCTACTGGCAAGCATCGCATTAATTGTTTAGTGTTCCAACATGGTGTTATAAGGTGGTCATCTTCATAATAAACACAATGCAATACGTTTAACATAGTGTTCTTGCACAAGTTCAGTTTTTATTGCTTAAAATCATTGTTGCAAAGTAATGGTGTTGACTTTTTCCAATGCGGTGATTGTTACCAAGTGGAAAAAGCACTTTGAATAAGAAGGCTTTATTTTTGTGCATACTTTAGAGAGATATGATTTGCACTGTATCATTGTTCCGCCTCGTATATTGTCCATGGTGTGTTTGTTTCACAAGATCAATTTTTGGTTAATCATCTCAAAAAATCCGGTGCATATGGATTAGAATGGAAGTTATTGATTTTTGTGTCTTTTGC